TACTAATACTATGGTACCCAGTGCCAGCACTGGTTCCCCTAGTACGACAGGGCTTACTCACGTGAAAGAGGTAGATAGCCGTGAAAGACGTCCCACTGCAGAAACTTCTGCTGCCAGGCGATCAAAGTCTCACACTGGCCTGACATCTGTACATGTAACCAATCTTGAAGGACCCCCTTCTTTGTCAGAAAACAAACAACTTATCATCTCAGCCCAGCAGGATACATCCCAAAGGTCAACAAATCCCCTGAAGGATATCAAGAAGGACAATTACGAGGATGAAACTGGCGGTAATGTTGGCGAGTTAACCAGACTCTAGAAATCGTCAAGTGTGCCGCTTTCATCATCAATCCTCTACCCTTTAAGCTCTCATTCCTTCCAGCTGGCATGTGTAGAATCACTGTACATTTGGTCCTACTTCAGTTGGCGATGGAGGATGTGAAAAGACCCCAAGCTCTCGCCTCACCAGCCAAGAAGCAAGTTGTTTTTTTTTGTGTGTGTTTGTGACAATATAGCCATTTTCACACATGCACTGCAGTACATAATTTTTACTAGACATTACCCAATTGAGCTGCATATAGGAGCACAAACATTTGATCAGACTTCAAATTGGCTTTCCACAGTAAGCTCCTTATAGCACAAAGTGTAGGCAATGTCCAGTTGGGCCTGTGTAAAGATAGAAAAGGCACTTATCCTGAGAATTCGTGGCAAAGGATGGACGTTATGTGTCCTGCTTCTTGCACATGCTAAGAAAGCAGCACCTTCATCTAAACCAAAAGGAGTATTTCCAGCAGCGTGAAGTGGACTATCACCTGCAGCATGTGAGAAGGGACAATTGTACATGTTCTGGTGGGATACATGTGTGAAAACGGCTCACGGTTGGCTGATGTTATCAAGAGTGGAGGGTGGACCACAAAGATGGTCTTAGGCAGTAACGCACAAGAAAAGGGAAAATGTGACAGCTGACTCTGGACCTTCTCTTGCCTGTCGCAGATCCCATTATCTGCCATTAACTTATTTGATTATCTTTAAACCTTTAATCTTGATTATTTCTTTCATATGTCTTTTTAAGTGCCTTTAGAGTAGAATATTATGTAGACTAAGCCTTTATAAATAAGGGAATAACAACATAAAGGGAAAATTGTAAATTAGAAAGCTTTTTGGGAAGAAAAGCTTTGCTTTTGTTACAGGTTTACTTTTTAAACTATGTTTTGCTATGATAGTTTTGCCTTTTTATTAAAAAGAAAAGCAACAATGTGTAAAACATCACAATACGTGACAAGCGAAGGGCAAAATTATGTACGATTAAAAAAAAAAAAAATGCACCGCACTAAAATCCTGCAGAGCCTGTGTCCATGTTGTTCTTGAAAACCAGAAAACGCATCAGGAAAGGCACAACGGGAACAAATCGGTACAGGCTAAAGGCAGACGAGGCTGAGCTGTGAGTTGTCGAGTGAGTGTATTGCTCTTATGCAGTGTGTGTCTGTATAGTAAGATCACTTAGGCTTTAATAAGGGGAGGTGCCTATGAGTTACTCAAATGACTGAAACTGCAGGTTTACAAATAGAAACTTGTTTGCTGATGTGGCAGCTTTTTCTCTGGCCTCAGTTAAGATCTTTGCATTGCCTCAGCACTGAGGCATGATGGTCTAAACTGCATTTAATCAGCATGCTCGCAGCATCATAGGCTAACTGCTACTAGTGTTTGTGCCCTCTGCACATCCAGACTCTTGTAGGAGCTCAAACTATCTAACTGTGTTTAGTGAGTATTTTAATGGGTCCTACAAGATGCTGGCGTACCTATAGAGTGTCTTAAATTGTGTCTTAATTTCTTTTTTTTTTTAGATGGATTAGAGAATAAAACTGCCTGGGTTAGCTATGGATTACACTGTGTGTTAGTTGATTGTGTTTTAGGACATGGATGATCAAAGTGGAATGTCACAATAAAAATGTGTTTAATAGTGTTAATTGTTACACAAAACTTGAACTTTCTATCTGAGGCGTCTTAATCTACTTTCTGTTATCTAAAGGACATTACTGGATGCAAACATCTGGACACTTTTACAGCTTCATACTTTCAGTGACATGAAAACTTTACATAACGGCATTGTAAATGCAAACGGCAGTGCACCAAAAGGTATTTCATAGAAGGGTCTCTGTGCTTTTCGCTTTCCCTTTAATTTTTTCTATCTATAATGTCAGAACAGTTTTCATCTCTCTTGCTGTTACATTTTCTTTCTTCTGCTGTTTAAAAAAAAAAAAAGGATTGTGTGCTCAGACGTAAAAATGGTTTCACCAGTGCACCATTTCTTGACCTGAACTCAAGTAATAGAACAAGCGTTGCAAATAAAAATAATTCATCATCAAGTAATTTATGTAAGCTGCTGCAGCTAACAACACCTTAATAGTTAAATAGTTTGCTCGCATTGTTTTCTAAGTGTGGAGTTAGGGTAGCTTGTGCCTTTTAAATTTAAACATGTCATATTTTAAAGTTAGTTCTGTTGCTTTTCATTTCTCAAGACACTTAATATTGATCAAAATTTAAAATACTGACGCTTGTGCTTGAATCATTTAATTTGATAAAATATTGAAAGATGAGATTTCAGCAGTGCCTTTTCTTGACATGTATAAGTAAATATAAATATGCCAAATATGTGACATTATTTGGATTTATTGCGGTTTTTAAATTCCTTTTTCTCTTTTATTTTATAATGTTATAATAATTTACTTATGCAGTTGGTTTAAATGTAACAACAATGGTTTAAAATGGAAAATAACCTTCCTTTGCTTATGAGCACACAACCCTTAACACCATTCCAATTTTTTTTTGGTTTTTTTACACTGTAATAAAGGGAATAACCATTACTGTTCATGGTTAAACACTTAATAGTGGTCATAATTCTTGAGTGTTGAGCTACCTTTTTAAATGGAATTTTCCTTAATAATTTTGATAAGCCCTGTTGAATAAGCTGTTTTTTGTTGTTTTTTTTACTCTGAACAGGTGAAAATCTGAAAGGTGTGTTTACTCACACATTTGACATGCCTTCTTTTTCCCTTGTGTCACCGCAAACATGAGCGCATCTTTTGATTTGCTGTGATTTAATGAGATGTGAGTGGCATTCTGAATCAGCAGAATGGCACAAATATTAATGCCAAAGAGTGTCATTGCCATCTCTTGGATTTTCTCTTTTTGTTGTCTTCTTAATTTGCAGGTATTTTGTGCACACCTTGTAGTCATCATATACTAACTGGTAAAGGCACTCATTTTTTAATGTGCGGTATGCCTTTATATTGTATAGTATCTGAGCATTTTCTAGAATTTATATAAGCGCATGTATTAGAATATTACTTGTCTTAAGAACTGGGTAATTTTAACAATATTGGAATAATACTTGCATGTGTGTTTAAAAAAATGTGTGCATTTGTAAAACTTTGTGATTGTGTGTATTTTGGAAGAGATGCTCCAATCCTAGCAGGAATGTGAACAGTGAGGCTTCAGTTGGTAGAGATTTAAGTTCCTTTTTAATCCAAACTAGCCAAATAAAACTGTGGAGACGTTGCAAGACCTCTCTGGTTGGTAGTATTGAAAAGTAGCCCGCTGTCGATCCCTCTAAGTTTTAAAGGGGACCTATTATGCTCTTGTCTGGGTCATTATTTAGATTTTTGCACTCTAGTAAAGTAACTTTGGATGATGCACAGTTCTTTATCACCTTTACCCTACGCTATATGGACACATTACACCTACAAGAGCTGCTCAGCCATGTAAACTGATTTCATGAAGCTCCCAGTTTACAGCTTTTGTGCTGATGTTAATGCAAGAAGAGGTTTGGGACTCTGCAGTTACTGAGTCAGCAGTAGAAAGTGTCTGAAACCTGAACTTTGGGCTTAAAGTGAAATTTTTTTTTCTTTTGTACATCAACCTCATTATTCAAAACGTTTTGGTTAGTGTGTCTGATATTGTAACATAAAACAATTATATATGAGAGAAAAGAAGAAAAGCATAATGGGTCCACTTCTATGAACTGTTGCTTTCTTTGGATATGTTTTTGTATATAGCACGCTAACAGGTGAAGTTAAATTTAATAATAAATAAAGTCAGTTGCTGGGAAATGTTGTCCTAATGAATTTATAGCCTGTATACTACCAGTGATAGATTGAAACTATAGACGTACATGGTACAAGTTTTTGTTTGTTTGTTTTTTACTTTACACTTACCCTCAAATGTATTTCATAAGCAAACTGTGTACTTTCTAGTCCACTGCATTTAACTGAGTGCAGCTTTTTAATTATATTTCTTAACTAATTATGCTATCCACCAATACAGGCAGCTACAAGATTTCATGCAACTTAAACATTGGTGCATCGATACACATTTATAACAAAGACATAAGCTCGACTGTGTGCTTGGCTAGTACTTCATTATAGTTTTCTGTTTTCTAGTTAGTATGTGTATGTATGTGTGTGTGTGTGTATATATATGTGTGTATATATATATATATATATATTACACTCATACTCTGAAAGGTGCTTCTTCCCAAAAATTTATCAACTACTTTCACACTTCACAGAGAATCTTCACTTGATTTTTATATAAGTAAGTAGACATAAGTTTGATGGGATAATATGTAAGTTTTTAAAACCTTTCCTGTAAGCACCAATAGTCACATACTGGTTTATCATAGCTTGTGTACTTGATAGTGTATTCGCTAAAAGTAAAGACTGCTTTATCTGTTTCTATATAACAGTGTATAGCATTGACTCGCGTTTTAGCCTGCGAAATACAAAAAAAAGTTCCATTTCAGGTAGCGACTGTTGGGTGTTTGAAAAGTTTGAAACAGGTAGCTCGTTTTTTCTGTGTAATCCACCCCTAGAGGCAACTTCTCGTACGTCCACATGACGCACGGTGGGGACACAGGTTTACGTCAGGGCGTCAGCGCGCCTCCCCCCTCCCCCCACAGTCTAGCTGGGAAGAAAAAAAAACTTTTTTGTATCGGAGGAATCAACAGCCGCCATCTTGACGCGGCTCATAGTCTGGATTTCGGGGGGAGCATTAAATTAAAAAACCGATCGGAGCCACACGGAGCGGACTCAAACGGCTTTTTTCGTGCAGAAAATCGAAGCGTGAGCTCTTCCGATTAGAAATAATGCAAATATGTGAGGGCTAAGTGGGGTTTTGTCGTCTCGAAAGCCCTCTGTATATTTGATTTCCCTTTTAGAGAGCGCCGCTTCTCGCCGTATCGCCGTCCCGAGACGCTTTATTTATCGGGAGACAGCGACCAGAAAAATAATCCGTCTCATAGAAAATATTTTTCGAATTTTGATCTTTTTATTTAAGCCAAAAACGGAATTTATGGCTGCTCGTTTCGACTGCGAAAAAAATGATTCTGTGCGGACGTGAAATCGGCGATCTGCGGAGAAAGGGATTCGCTTATGCTTCGTGCCATATTTTATGATTGATTTTTATTTATTTTTCTCGGACTGAAATAATTTTTGGACGAGATTATTGAGGATAATTATGTGGGTGTTGGGTGTTGGATTATCATGGGGTGATCTTAGGTGGCGAAGCGTGGCGCTGTTGCCTATCTTTTGAAATCCTTTTTCTCCAGGCGGCGTTTCGCCAGTCTGCCAGTCAAAGAAAAGGAGGAAAAAACTGTTAAATTGCTCCTTGGCGCCTAACAATACAAGTGACCAGCGACTGCAAACCGGGGGGCGAAGATTTGGACTGATTTCTACTTTTATTCGTCGGTGTCTTTAAGCGCTTGTAATATTTGCCGACGAGGATGGCTGACAATCTTATGGATGTGGGACCCCCCACTGCAAAGCGACCCAAGATCAATTCACCTCCCTCAGGATCAGATGGCCCAGGTAAGGACAGGGCATTGTTTTTAGTGTACCTGTTGTGACGAAGGTGTAGTAGTAGTAGTAGTAATAGTGGTAATCACAGTTTTCAAGCTACACTGTGCACAGTTTGTGCCCCTCAACAGAAGTGAACGCATCATCTATGTACAGGAAAGCGGTCACTTGAGCGGACTGCAACTTTTCACAGGAAAACAGCACATGGTGATGTTATAGGAATAGTTTGATTTAATCTATAGATCACAAAATAATGGCTGTAAAAGACAAATGGCGTAAAAGGGGGTCAAGCTCAATGCATTTCCATCACACGAGGTTTTCAGCTGCTCAACAGGCAGAATTTGCTCCCAACTTTTCAACCTTTGTTGGGATAAATATTAAATGCCTCAATTGTGTTTTGTCATCATAATATATCTTAAGATACGGATAACTACAGGGCTCTGGCAGCACTGATGAAAATGCTGCCTCGGTGTCTGGAGTTGAATCGCACTTTGTGTCGTGCTCCTTGACACTGGAGCCGTGCAGATTCGTGACAGCACAAGCTGTTGATAAACCTGCTGTTTGACTGAGTGATAGTCGGACTGCCAGTGAAAGATCAGGTCTTCCTCACATGCTGAAATAGGTTTTTTGTTTTAAGTTAGTTTAGAACACGAACTGGACAGCAAACTTTTCTGCTGTTTTTTCTTCTTCAGGGAAGCATATTTGCATATCCTTTCCTGTTGTAAAAAGCTATCATGGGGAAGTCTGAGGCGTTTAGAGGGTAGCCCAATGGTCTGCCTGTTAAGCGGTGAAACCTGAAGAGCAACTTTGCTGATCCTACTCGAGAAAGGACTTTCGAATAAGACGGAAGGACTTTTTTTCTTTCCTTTACACGGCATGCCTCCTCCTTACAGGTTATGTCACCCTGTGATTTGTGTTTGTGGTTAGGAAAAGAAAACATAACAGTCTATTGGCTTGTTTGATATGATGAGCTTACTTTTTATTTTTGTCCCATTAAAATAAGAAACGAACGCATGACTATAGTAACAATGCAAGGATTGCTTCGCAATTACATGGGGACTTTTTAAACTTGAGGACATCCTTTCTTATTATGTCTCTTTAAGGTACACCTCAAATAGTCCAGTTGTATTGAAAAATACACTTTTGAATCAGAGCTGTGGAAAAGTAATATGCACTATTTTCACTTTGCTGAAAAGCTACTGCTGCAGAAGAACTCTGTATATACTTTCCATCTGTATACAGTGTAGTTGTCTACCAATTTAAGCCTTGATGACGTTAAGGGTTTACTCGTTGTAAGCATCAAAAAAGCATGTAGGGTCTTATTTCAGTGAAGACTTGCATTTCATTGCTGGGTTTGCATTAGTTAATCGATTCCTAATAAGATTCCTAGGTAATGCTAAGAATCTTAATCTTCAGGTGGCTTATTAAGCTGAAGCATCAATTTTCAGGAATATGTTGAGCTGTCAAACTTAGAATGGTGAAATGAGCTGCTCATATATTAAAATGCATGGCACTAAGGTGCTACCAAAGATGTGAAGGGGAAAGAACACAGCATGTTGTGGAGATAAGCAAAAAGAAAACCACCAAAAAATACACTGAGCAGAAATTAGGTGTAGCTTAAGGGGAGTGATAAAACACAGTCGGGGTTAATGTAAAAACTAATCTCCAGGTCGCCTACCCAGAAGGGTAGCGGGAACCTTCAGATGTTTCTAAATCTCCCTGTGGGAAGCACTTAAGTAGAGAATCTCTTTAAGTTTGAAATGCAATTTTTTTTTGGGGGGAATGCTCAATAAGGTTTAAACCCATGTAGGTCACCCACCCAGAAAGGTGACCAAAACATTCGCTGGGCAATAAAGCAGCCCTACCTGGGGCTTCTTCCTCCTCCACTGCAGTTGGAAACTATCTGTTTTAGTTGATGTTCACACAAAATGTATGTTTTTAATAAGCCATTGTAGGATGTTTAGTGTTTTCCACAGGAGCAGTAGAGATGCAGGTAGATGGTTGCGCACCCATGTTTTCTTTAAAGAATTATTAAATGTTATGTTTCAAGAGGTGTCCCTTTGCATGTTTAAGTGGGGCTATATGTTAAAAATAAACAGGGCAATAATGAGCTGCATCTTTCGGATATTTCTGTTCTGCTGGTTGGATTCAGCATAAAGATTTTGCTCAGCAGCCACCGGGGGTTTGTTGCAGGAGCGCATCAAGCATATTTCCACACTCTTTGGGTTCTGCTTAGGGTGGACACCCCTCCCCCTGACCAGGAGGACCACTGCAGCAGTGCTAAACAGCTAACCCCCATATTTCCCTTGTTTAAAGGGAAACATGAGGGTTAGCGGTGTAGCAGGCACACAACTTTTAAATTAAGAGCAAGGCGATTGTCCACTAGTAAATCAATAGAGGAGCGTGTCACTCGTGGTGCAACACTCATTTTCTCTCGGAGACCTCCTCTAGTTTAAATTGTGGCATGCTCGAGGGATAAAGACCAACTGTAAAAAAACGATTGTTCTGTTGCTCGTCAAATAAACGGAATTCATATTAATTCCAAAGTAAATTGTGTGAATGCAGTCCATTCAAATTTCAACGCTAATTACTGACTGATCATTTAAATATTGTGGGGCTTCAGCGTGTTTGTCCAAATCATCCTGACTGTTATTTACACATTATATTGCCGACTGAGTCACCTTGGTAACTATTATTAGTAGTTGGGCCGATAGGAACGACATCACCCTATGCCACATCAAGCCAACTGTGTACAGAGCTGATGTTCACAGGCACAAATTAACAAAAACATCAAAGACTGCTAATGTGTGACTTTTTGTTGTTTTTTTTGTTTTTGTTTTTTTCCCCATGGTGCACTACTCTCTTGTCAGTATGTGCCTGTGGCTTCAGGCCAATGTCGCTTGTTTTCATTTGTATGACTGAGTGGGCGTGTCAGCACCACAGGCAGTAGCAGCCATCTTCAATCCTACCGCTCACCTAACGGGTTTCTCTCTTCCTCTTTCTGGCCTCGGTGTCTAGGAGACTACCAACTCCTGGGTGTATTGGTAGTGTTCAAGAGTGCTAAAATGTGCTTTTCACCAACCTCTGGATGTGCTGGCTGATGTCTCGTGTGGCGTAATTGGTGGAGATGAGAAGCATGTGTAGCACTGGATCGCTAAAATCCTCTGAGAAAGTATTTTCAGCAGTTTAATTCATTCAGTTCCTTGCCCCAAAATTAATAAAAAAATTTATATTTTGTGATCTTAGATCGTTTTGCCCAGAAATTTTCTTGTCCATTTCTCTAAATGGTTGCGGTTTTTATAAACACACGGCCGCAAATGATTGCAGCCCCAGCTTTACATGTTTCGTGGGCAGCTAATTTTGAACATCTTGAAGTCATCATAGTTCTTATAAAACACCATATTAAAATTTTTACAGTTGCAGTGCCACTCAAATGAGTGGAAAACAGCCCACTCGCACGTTTTCTCTTCACATACAACAGTACGTTTCCTATATTTCTTTGTTTCATCAGTTCAGAGGTTTTCTTTGATCATCATACCTAATTAAAAGGGAGCAGATTGTCATATTGGTCTTTTAAACAAGATTTAAATGTATAATTAACATAATAAAAATAATTGGTACAGAATACATTAACAACACACAAACATAGTGTTTTGTCAGAGGTCATACAAGATGTTAGTAAGTATCATGCTCTCACTATGTACCTATAATTTTTATACAAAAAACTTTGGCGTATATTCAAATAGAAATCTTTTAGAAACAAGTTCTGTCACTCTGCAGCCATGTTGGTAACACCTTGGGGCAGTTATTTAGAAATAATAAGAATAAGCCTCTAGGTGTTGTGTGCCATGGGTTTTATGATAACAATGTTACAAAGGAAATGGCAAGAAAAAGCAGCCGAATGAACCCATTGTATGTTCTTTGGCCAGTTTTTTTTTTTTTGAGTGTGCGCAGTAAATAATTTTTCCCATACACCCCTGTTAAGGTCTTCCCTTTGCATTGCTCACACTCTAAAGCCCCTTTTCCGTTAGTACCTACTCAGATTGACTCGGATCGGCCGGTTTTCCATTATGATCTAGTACTACCTAACCACATGCGTGGTTGTCATCATTGCAAAGTGTTCGAGCATACTGCGCCATAATTAATATGCGACATGAACGCTACAAAAAAGGTGGACGTTGAGGCAAGAATATACCTGCAGCTCGGTCTGTGGTGGGTTTTTTTTGGGGGGGGTTTTCCTTCTTGGTACATATTTCCCTCGTTGCCGGGTTTCAAAATTGGCAGTTTTAACTTTCGTGAACTTAGATACTGAGTAGACTTTAATGGAGAAGGGCCCTTGTCCACTAGTAACTACTTGGGTTGACTCGGCACAGCTTGAATTATTTTTTAGGATTTTCCATTAGGTGATGGTACCAGATACTTTTGTAGTGCCTACTCAGCTGGGGTTCCAAGTGATCTGAAAATTTTATGTCAACAGACTGCATACCACGGATTGGCAGAGGTGCCATTTGATGAGTCTTGAGAGTGTCTCCTTCACGGAAATCAAAACCGCCATTTTTAAAAACCCGGAAACGAGCACAAAAAATACTGACAAAAAGCCGAGCAGCAGGTACACCATCACTTCAACATTCTGCTTTATTGTGGTG